GGCTGGACTCGGGGCTTCTCACAGGGGTGCTGATCATGAGGTGGTAGTACCCAGCTCCTCCACCAGTGTCGCGGGTTATAAATTACAGGGGGTTTATTTAAAAACACGGGCGGTGGTACTTGTAGAGACGCTCTCAGAGAAGGCTGCTAAGATTGTCGTCTTCTTCACTCTGCTGCATTGCGCCTCTCGAGCAAATCCGCGTTCTTCGTTGTCGTCGCTATCTCGCCGCTAAATGCAGCTATGCATGCGGCAATATCATAACTGCTACAAATAATAACTCCTACACATTTCTTGGCCTGGTTTTCTGCTCATTGTCTTAACCGCTGGAGTAAGTAGTGCAGGCTTCTTTGCACTACACAAATGTGTGGCAAAAAGTGTGTAGATAGGTTGGTGAAAGGCTTATTACCATAAAAAGCGACTGGGAAGGGACGCGACTTCCTCAAGTGCCGTCACGCACAAAGATGCTGTGGCCGAGTTGGTCGACTCTCCGACATGGCACAGAGATGGCACTTGAGGCAGGTCGTCAACAAACACGGGTTTATTTACCCAAGATACAGCAGAGCGTGACAATCACGGGCTTGCGAGCTGGCAGGGAACTCCGCAATACCGACCAGTGTAGGCTTGCTGGTAGGCAGTCAGGCTAACGCACAAAGGGCAACAGTCGAGCAAGCGTACGAGATGCCGCCTGCTAAAGCAGTGCGTCCACGTCGCGCACAAGCCTGTGTGTCTCTGTCCGGCGACGAGCGAGCGCAGGGTGAACGCAAGCTACCGGGGGAGGGACTGTCACGGGTGGCCAACGAGGATCGGGGGATCACAGTGACGTGTGCTAGTGTTACGAAAAGGGAAGTGTTGTCCGGGTAACCTCGGACACGCTTCTCCATGCAGGGAAAGCCGACGCAGGTGCTCGCGCCAGACAAAAATGCGTGGCGGCGGCACAACGGTGGCCATCTTCATGACGCTCGAGCTGTGCAGGGCCAGCGCTCACGCTAATCGGAAGCAAGACGCCAAAAAAGAACAGCGCGTTAGATTACCACAAAAGATTATGAGAAAAAAAATAACATCCTGAAACGCATAAAAATGATCTGATTTTTGTTCTAAGGACAACCAGGTTCAGACAGTTGAAATTTACCATCAATTTCTTACGTGCGACATGCGTGAAGGACACCCTTTCGACATTATCCTGCAATTTCTTTTATACACATTATGCGCAATCAGTTGGTACTCCAGTACAAAAATGACGGCGCGTGTAGAGGGAACTTTAGAATTGAGGCTATTCGAGCTTCTGGCTACCAAAACTTTAGAATCTTCATCAAGCGAGCTGTCTGCCTACGAGACACTCAGCACACTATTGTATTTATTTTAAAATATGACATTTTCTTAAAAACCTTATCACCTAACTTGTTGGGTACCAAACCGAGGCGAAGCTGTCTCAATCTCCTTGACTTTCATATTCGTTTCTGAAATGAAAACAACGTGAGGGTGGTTCTCGTGCGTAGCCCTGCAGGCATTTTCTATGTATTGTATTATTTAAGAAATATGGGTGCCACCACCTTGGGCTGTTAAGCCAATGTTTTCCTGTTTCCGTATTTGCGGCGTGAAATATTGAGGACATGAAACATCGCTTGCACGAACCCAACCGCTTTCATCCGTTTGCATTCACCGCATCAGTGTTTGTTAAGTGACTAAGTATCCCACCACAAAGGTTAACAGCCTATTACGTCGGCACCGTAACCCATCCGTAAAATAGCCTGTATACAGCCAGCCCTAACTTGATAATTTTCCGTCTTAACATTCCAAAAGCAAAATATGATTATTGTGGACCCCGTAGTGGAGGACTCCAGAAATTTCGCCCTCCGGCGGCTCTTTATATAAAACCTACGATAGCCAGAGTTTGAAAATAAGTACGTTCGCCATGTGGCGCGTGACCAAAATTTGTCGCACTTACTAATGCATTATTTTTTAGTTCTGCTATCTATCTATCTATCTATCTATCTATCTATCTATCTATCTATCTATCTATCTATCTATCTATCTATCTATCTATCTATCTGTCTGTCTGTCTGTCTGTCTATCTATCTATCTATCTATCTATCTATCTATCTATCTATCTATCTATCTATCTATCTATCTATCTATCTATCTATCTATCTATCTATCTATCTATCTATCTATCTGTCTGTCTGTCTGTCTGTCTGTCTGTCTGTCTGTCTGTCTGTCTGTCTGTCTGTCTGCTGTCTGTCTGTCTTTCTGTCTGTCTGTCTGTCTGTCTGTCTGTCTGTCTGTCTGTCGAAATATTTCGCGAATAAGCCTGCAAATGACGCCGCTGTGTAGATTTCTCATTAGTGCTCGTAATGCCTCTAGGACACAAATTGATTTTTTTTTGCCTGGATTAACTAAAGACGTTAAAAATAAACTCAAAACCTTGTGCTTTCAAAATTAGAAATAATTTCCCACGATGTTACAAGCTTTCGACGTGAGAAGAATAAAATAAATCATGCAGGCAAAAAAATATACAAAGCGCAGACTGGAGCCTAACAAAAGGTTTTGGGTTGTTGCCCAGACAAAAAAATACTGAATATTTAATGCATGTCTCACCTTTAGACCATACCAAATGCTCGCAATTCACAGAACTGGCAAAAGCAAAAGCAGCAAGTACATGATTGGAAAAACACGAGCCCCTCACGGCTAATGAGGCAGAGGTCTCAGATAAGAAATAATAATTTGCACAATCCCAAGAGCCAGCATGAAAAGAACTCACGCAATAGAAGCTGAATGTATGCGGTTGCAAACCGCATGTCATTTTTTCGTCTTTTGTTTTCGTCGAAGCTGAAGTCTGAAAGGAAACACAATTTGCCGGAAACATCGCTTCGGCACGAATTCAATGTAATCAATACATGCCAAATTCTACGATAATCTCTAAAGTACGCTTCTCGAATTATTCGAGATGAAAGCTGCTTCGTGTACTTTGATATATATCGTGTCTATGAATACCGCTCAAAATAAACGCGCATCCAATTTCAATAAAAACTTCACGTTTCATTATTGTAATGTCTAGGGTCTGTGCTGCGCGCATAGACATAGAAAGAAAAACATAATTCCCGCAATGTCGCGACAAAATCATGCAACTGTCTAACTAAGGCATAAAACAAAGAAATTCTGCTTATGTAGATAAATGTTTGAGAAATCGTTGCCCTTTCGAAGCTGTGTAACACAGTTGCTGAAGACATCGATTAACGGGTTTTGCTTCTGAGCATAAAGAAGCGGGGTTGATGTGGACGGCACATTAATAAAAGATAACCGGGCTCACCGGAGTCCTTGCTGACATTTTAAGGAGTGTTTCTGAGCGCGAGTGCTCAGATTTAAATAGCTCCTAGCCTTTTGCTGTTCTGTACACCGTCCATGGTATTTCTGCTATCAGAGCCACCACAAAATACGCCTCTAGAAAGCCTGAAAAGAACGTATGAAGTTACCAAGAAAAGCTGCAGCTTAAACTGCACTGAAAAGTAAAAAAAAAATCATGGTGTCAGCTTGTAAGAAACGCCACAACGTCGTGTTGCTGCTTCTTCTCAATGTGCGTTATGACAGAGATAGATAAGCGAGCCGCAGGGGAGCGCTACGTCTCGCTTATTTATCTCTGTCATAACGGGCTGCGAAAGAAAGTCACCCGAGCGTGGCATCAATATTTAAACGTCCATGTCTGAAAAATTTTAAAGAACCTTGTCGTTCTTTGCGAAGTTTATTTTTCGTTCGGTCTTTTTGTTCAGAGGCATTGCTTAGTGCAAGGATGCGGTTGTTTGCGTTATTGGTTGCAGCTGCCTATATAAAGAAACAATGCTCGACACAACCGGAAGGTGACGTGCTTACTTCCTTAGAACTAGTCGTTGCCGCTTCTGGCTCTTAAACTTCAATCTCTGCTTTACAGCGCATGGTGGGTTGGTTTGTTGTCTTTAACGTCCCGAGAGAAGCTAAGTCTATGAGAGATGCCATCGTGAAAGCCTACGAGTGATTTCGACCACCTGGGGTTTTACTTCAAAGCGCCTAAATATCTACATGTATACGTACTTGGGTGTTCTTGGCACTTTACTTTGTAGCGTAAAAGGTTGAAATAATATAATATGACGGTGTAATTTTAAAAGGCACCACACCTTCGGACCATCTTGGTCTTCTACATACGCAAAAAAAAAACAAAAAACTCCTGAAGCTTCTGCTGCAGCCTTTACACTTAATTACCATAAAGTGGACCTTACTTTGCTGCATTTCCACAGACTCACATTCAGTCGCAAGTTATCTGTGTTACGTATGAGCACGAGCTTGTTTGTTTGGACGGCATTTTCTGACTTCACTGGCCCTCACCTTTGTTTCGTAAGCAGAAATCAATCTACTTTTCGAGCACCATCATGCAGATTTACCTTGTTTTTTTTCAATGACACGTCAACTGTTTCTTGTTTTTGTTTTCATTTCTGTTTCGGCACTTATATGTGCCTGTGCTTTTTTTCATCTTTCACGTAGGCATCAACGTTAACGACAGTTTGGCCTCAACCTACGCCGATGTCAGCACCCAAGCTTCGGACGAGGACTCTTCAAGCTACACTGAAGACCTGGTCGCTGACATTATAATAAACGTGGCGAGGAAAAACGTTCACTTTTACAGGTGAGATGCAACGGCTGGCCGAAACTAATAAAAGCATTTTACACCCAATGAGTTCGATATTTAGGCCTGGTATTCACGGAAGGCAACCGTCTGCATACAATACGTTCGTCGCGTGAAGAGCCTTTGACCAAAAAAAAAAACTACCGGAGCGTAACAGTTGCTTCTCCATGCCCTTCAAGTATATACGCTGCACAACATGGAGTACAAACGGTCCTGTGCTCCTTTCAGGCGCGGGACCACCACCTTACAGTTACCGGAGTTCTGTTTATTGCCACAACACAATAAAGGGCGTCGGTAACACCCGCATTTCCGTCTCTACGACGCAGTGTACCATGGCACACGAGCGGTCTGGACCCCGAGCTGTCGGCGCACAGCGGATACTTGGAGAAGCTGACCGAGGCGCTGCTCACCTCCATCAAGGCCATGGTAGACGAGGCGTCACAGGTCGAGACGCCCGACTGGGACGAGCTGCCCCCAACCTTCCGAAAGGTTGTACAGGTACGTGTTGACGGGTGCATGCACGGCACATTAAAAAGTTAAAATATACCACAATGGCTTTCGCAAATTCGCAAATGTTTCTCCCATACTTATTATCATCCTTTATTTTACATATCGTTGACCAATACAAAGCAGCGTATTTTTCGACAATTATTGGTCATGCAAATATGTAATAAAGCATGTGTAGCTAATGTAATTGATGCAATACGCGCAATATGCCGTTTGACGCCTATTTGATTTCATTCGCCACGTCTTGTGGTTAGGGTGTTCAACGGCTGACCCGAAGGTTGATGTATCGGATCCATATACCGTCCCGGCCACATTTAAATCAAGGTAAAATGGCAGAGCTCTTCTGCTTAAATTTAGCTGCACGTTCGAGAACCCCAGGTGGCAGAAGCTTCCGGAGCCCCTCCACGTCTCCCATATTCATAGTTTTGGGACACGAGAAATTATGATTTTTGAATGCGTGATCAGGACACTCATATAGTTGTTGAAATAAGGGTGATATCGTGATTTGTTGGTCCCTTAAATTGCATCGTCAGCTCTTACACCTTCCTCGACGAATAACGTGAAGTGTGACAGGCTTGCCGTACCGTAACAACGGCACGATGTCACTTGCTCTTCAAGAGGTGATCTGTTCGGTGCCACATCTTCCTCTCACAAAATCAGGCAGGTACGCGTGGCCCGGGCCCACAGCGTGCCCCAACGTTAGCGCTGCAACGTTAGCACTGAGCCTTTAAGGCAATGCTAACGCAATCGTGTTTACCCTTTTCTAAACTTTGACAACTCTGCTAGACGGCCCAACGCGCAGAGCTCGCTTTGGAATCACGAGAGTCTTGCGTAAAAATAAAACTGAGACCATAAGCAACAGCACAGCATTACTAAGCCTGCTTAAATTTAGGTTCCCACGATGGAGTGAGGCAGACTTGAGGTTCGTATTTCCTTATTCAACGTCTTATTTTTAGCTTTTCTTTACCTGTGTAGCATGAATACCTGCATAACTCGCACAATTTTCCTTGCATCCACTTCTAGTTTTGCTATGTGCAAAGTAACATGCTTGCTACACAGCTAAGCGGCTCTATGTATGGCTACAACTTATGCTTGCGCAATTTGTACACTACTCCGGGAGCGCCACCGCCGAAGTTTTTCTTTCGTCGTTCCTGAGGGAATATACAGCTTTTGTGTCCCTTGTTGCGGTTTAATTAGGCGTTGACGGTCGCGTGTGAGTTTAACAGCATATCAGGGGCCGACCGCGAGACGTGTATATATACGCAGCTGCTTTAACAACGCGCAAGCGCATTACCTCGCTGTGAGGGGCCCGTATATTACGCTTACGCAGCTAATAAGCGCGCATCAGTAACTCCCAACTTTTCGGGTCTCACATATGAGCATCTCCCTCCGGAGAGGAGGCGTGGCAGCGGTGCGTTCGCCGCTGGGCTTTCATGCAGCTTCGACGCATTCTCCGTGCCTTTAGTTCGCAAGCGGCGTTGCGCTTCACGTGCCCAATAGAAGGACGCGCAATAAGTGCACGCCGTGAGCGCGAAGCAGCTGGTGATGCTCACCGAATTCATAATTAGTGGTGTATAGCTGGCGTTGTAGCACCACCGCTACACGGGCACACAGCTCTGGGTTTGTGAATTATTCAACGTCCTTTTCAATGGGACTCCATGTAAGCTTCAATGCATTGTGAACGTTCATGGGCAAGCACCTACACACACAACTCGCATGTTGCCAGCTCGTTGCGCCTATGCGAGCCAGGCATGGATTGCATCAGCCGACATTTTTCTCCATGGCGACGGCACTGCAAAGCCCCGCCGAGTGCGCACTCAAAGCGTGCAACTGCGTGTCCGTTGTGTGAGGTACACGGTATACCGGGCTTCGACGTCCCGCGCAAGATGTATCAGTGACTGCTCTCACGGCAAACACACGCGGCTTTCGCATGAGAACTCTGTTTGCAATGTCTCGCAGCCTGTCCTGCACTCGTGTATCGAACGCTTGTTTGCTCGCGCTGATGCAAGGCGCCGGGCTTGCATGTTGCAACCACCGAAAAGACAGACATGCACTTTCTGCGCCAAGGTTTTCTCGAAACGCGCCGCTATTTCAACAGTAATCCCTGCGTGAGGGTAAACGTCGTGCCGGCATTAATCTCATCATCCTCTCAAATCTGGGGCAATATGGCTGATGGACGCTGCTTGTTTGACTGCCCTCGTTTCCAAAGCTAGAGCAAAGAAACTGTGTGCCGCGAGGGTGTCCACTAGAGAGGCCAGTGCTGCGATCGTTTTGATGCATCAGATAGGGTAGTAGTTGTGGAATACGGTAGCTTTGCTTTCGCGACATCACTTGAATCGTTCCTCATGGCTGCACCGGTTTTTAGTCGCAATTTTACGATGCAAATCAGGCACGAGAGTGTCACCGCAGTCCCCAATTCGTAGTCTGCTGGCCCGTATTGCCAAATCTTACCGGGTCTTTGAGTACAGAGCTTCAAAACAAAGGGAAGCACGCACGGTGTCCACAGCAAAAGCGCAGGAAATGCGTTGTTCTTGCAGACAACACAAAATGGCGCATGCTATGAGTGACGTCATCACGTAGGTGGCACCACGGTATATCTTGGAGGTCATTAGGTGTTCGTTTGTGCCAAGGGCTGCCCAAAAATGAGACATGTTGCTACAATAGTTTTTTTTTCAAAATGCGAAGGCATTTTTTAATCGATTTATGACAGGCACCCTTAGGCGGCATCTGCGGCGGCGGCCGTGAGCCGGCATGTGTTATCTCTCCGCTCTCACTCCCTCTCCCATAGCAACAACTGCGGGCGTGCACGTTTCTACTCGAACGTAACAACCGGAGCATGACGTGCACGAGAATGTAATGGCGAATTCCACTGGTAGATCTAGAGTGACTGCCGAAATCTCGGAGCGAGCACTCGGAGTGTGCCAAACAAACAATGCGAGTGGAACACGTGAATGACCCGCGTGAGGTCCATCCGGAAATTTTTTACGCATACGTCACTAAACCAGTACCGGAAACGATTTCCTTTTCTGCTCTCGACGTTTCAATGACAACTGTGTGGCCACTGCAAGCACGCACTTCGACCACGCAGTCTCGCGGGAAGCAGGGCTACCACTCTCCAATTTTAGGAGTATGAACAAGAGCAGTGTTACTAGACCACCTCAAAAAACACTGAGAGCAACCCAGCAGCCCGACTGTGCCGGAAATGACGGCAACGCATTCTCAGAGTTCCGGCGAAATCCGTCTCTGCAAGACGAAGCACGCGGAACGCTCCGTCGCGGAGTGGATAGCTCCGTCTACCAGTGGAAAATGCAAACTTGCTCTGAATGCACCAGCTAAACGCGGATTGTCAGCTTTAAAGCAAAAAAACTTGCTCCCGCTCGGCGAGTGGAATTCGCCATAAGAGACGGTAAGTGCAGTGCTTCACTGCTCCTTCTCTCGCCGTTCGCTCTCTCTTCTTCCTGAGCCCCACTCTCCCGTTAACTCGCGCCTCACTCTCGACCGTTCGCTGGCTGGGTGCCTCTCAAGAACATCTGAAAAGGTGTGCTCGAGACGCCACTGTGAAACACCAGCGCAAAGCCGAGAACGCTGGCGCCCCACTTTCTCGTTCACTCACTCCTCACTGTCGACGGTTCACTGGCTGGGCCTCTCCCAAGGCGATGGCGAAAGTCGGTGAAGGCGAATATCTGACGGCGACGGTGCCCTCTCTTGGCGCAAGAAATGCATTCGAATTTTCTCACGATTTCCTCGGGGAGGTGGGGGCATTTTGTTACCAATCAATGGTGAAATAAAGCTTGCGTGCTCTTTCTTTTTTCTTTTTAAATACAATCACGGGGTAGCTGGCCTTATTATGACGGGAATTTGGTACAGTAAGTAAAAAATGCAGTCTATTCGGAGCAACAACACCGCTTCTAAATGTACTGACCTTTACTTTTCTTAAATTTTTTCTTAGCTGGCTCATGGCGTTTATCGATTGTGTTGCTAGCAGGAAGAATACAACACGGTGCCTATGTAACAAAAAAATAGATATGCTGATGAAGCTGTCGCTTTGATGCGTTTGCTTTTGCAGCTTACTTGGGTGAAATTATGTCATATTAATTATTTTTATCTTTCATTTCCTTCGGCATTCGCCCGCGTAGCACCCCGCATGTTCTCTTTACCACCAGCATTGATTTCTCGAAAATCAACAATAATAAATGAATGAGGCAACAGAATGAAAAAGAAAAAAAGCGAGTGTTCAGAGGTTTTGTGTACAGTCATGTCTGAGCATCTGCACTCGCTTGATTCTGTGCGTGCACTTGCATCTGTGCAAGCTTGTGTTTGTTCTATGTCCTCAGAGGTGCATTAAGTCTGTTTACATTTGATTCCATGTGAGTGGCCACTTGGGTAATCAAAGAGGCGTGCGTGTGCGTGTTTACCTGAAAATAATTGGAGTGTTTACGCAGCAACTGCGAATTTAGCTGCAATGCCCGAGGTTGTTTGCTGAATTCCTAAGGGTTTTGCCCACAGAGTTAGTGTTATAATAAAGGCAGATGAAAGCTAAACATTGTCTTTTTGCTTTGGTTTCCCGTTGAATATGCTGTAGAGGTTTGGGTTAACTATATAGGAGAGGCTTTTGCAGCGCCCATATAGTGGGATCAAAAAGGTCACAGTTTCACTGCAAAAGGCGAAGCAATTAATTTGATAGCAACAGCATGGAATTTTATTTTAACTAAAGTTTGCAGCTAAGTCGTTCATTACCCCGCCGCGGTGGTCTAGTGGCTAAGGTACTCGGCTGCTGACCCGCAGGGCACGGGTTCGAATCCCGGCTGGGGCGGCTGCATTTCCGATGGAGGCGGAAATCTTGTAGGCCCGTGTGCTCAGATTTGGGCACACGTTAAAGAACCCCAGGTGGTCTAAATTTCCGGAGCCCTCCACTACGGCGTCTCTCATATTCATATAGTGGTTTTGGGACGTTAAACCCCACATATCAAGTCATTCATTATTTCTTCTGGTCTAACTCAGCAAAACGCGAAGCAGCCGTCCGGCGCACTTCATATCTGCCTCAGCGCGCACATCATGCAACATTCCCAAGTTTTCGCTCGAACATGGAACATACATTGTTTGTGGGAGATGTTATTCATGTGGACTTTATAAGAGCATGGTGGTGCCTCGAGTGTACGTATTGACGCATTGAAAAACACAACCTTTGCCATACAGGAGGTGGTTCGCGAGTCGCAGACGCACTTGTGCAACAGCCGACAGCTCTTGCGATGTCTGGGCGTGTCGCAGTCTTTAGACAGCGACTATGGCCCGCTACTCCAGATCCAGCAACTGATGCTGGCCGACGAGGAGCGGGTGCGCCACACACCCATCATCGTGTGCGGACGGGAAGGGGGCGGAAAGTCCTACGCTGCTATCTCAGGTACGCCTCTTTGGTGACATCTTCTATAGCCCACTGGCGTACCTCGTTTGCATTACGCCACTCGCAGCACCTACGGCTATGTATATATATACAGCTATGTTATTGCACGTATTTGTGTTTCTGAAATGCACCTCCTTGCTATACGCATAATCTGCACTCTAACGAGCCCTGTGACAGTTTGCTTTCTTTATATTGTTCCAGCGCAATAATTATACAGAACCCATGCAGATATAGTGCTGTTTTAATTAGGACGCTGTTCTCTGAGCTATTATTAAACAATTATATCTCATTTGCTACATTTGCTAAAACAGCAGTTGTGGCGAACAGTTTGTGTCAGGTATGATTGAGATTATTTACGACTCACGGGCCACTGTGATCAATGAAGAGATGCCAATAATCAAATAAGTTGAGTTGAAGAAGTTGGTGAAATTTTCACTAATTCGTTCTTTATTTGTATTAGCGAAATTAAGCACTTAGTAAGAAAGAACTTCGATGATGACCCCATCTTGACATTCCGGCACCAACCAACCGCGGCGCAAAACGTACAGTAATGCAATGCAAGTCGAAGAAACGAGATGCACGGGAAAGAGTGCCAAAACATCTTGTTTCTTCGCCTTGCACTGCGTTATTTCCTTTTTCTCAGAATGAGCTAACTTTTCCGACAACGTTTTTTCTTTAACAATAATGCATTCCCTACTGGCAGTGTCTTCTGGAGTGTAGCAAATGATCTGAGGCTAAATCTAGGTGTCCTATACGGTGTTTCATCAGGCACAAGAAGTGAACTTATCAGAGTGCATAAACTTTTTCTGAGCTGCAAAGCTATAGATCATTGAATTCAACAGACAATAAAAACAATGAAGGCATATGTCACGTTGTTGGTAGTCTTTGAACTGCAATATAGTACTCATGGTATAAGTATAAAAAATTAGTGCACGGAAACAGGACTTGTAGTCAGCAGCCGCCGAATCGGAAACCTGGGGTCTACCAAATGATCTGCGGTGGTGGTCGCCTTACCGTCCATTTTATTTACTATTTCTATGCACGCAAAGAAGACCAAGCTCTCGAATTCTCTTATTTTGCTTATTTAGAGTGAGGGCTTTGTTTCGGTAGACTTGATACTTCGGGTAGTGTGCGAGGGTCTACTGATTAGCCACCAGCTTGTTAAAAGATCACGTGCTACGTCCCGCCAGCTGGCAAAAAAAAAAGTGTTCGAAAATCACCGTCGTGGTTATGAGCAGCGCTGTCCCGCACTCCAAGGTTTCATCATCACCAGCCTGAATGCACCCACTGCAGGACGAAGGCCTCTGGCATGTTCCCCAGTCAACTCGGTCCTCTGCTTCCTGCTACCACTTTATACCCGTGAACTTCCTAATCTGATCTGCCCAGCTGGCTCTCTGTCTCCCCTTTACCCACTTGCCTTCTCTTTGAATCCAGTTGGTTACTCCTAATGACCAGTGGTTATCCTGCTTGCATAGCCTACGTAGCGCGTAGGCAGGATAACTCCAAGGTTTACTTGCACAGAAATACCAGGTAAGGGCAAGGAAAGATGACCGCCGTCGAAGCTCAATCGGTAGAACATGGGATGCGTTATTCGAAGGTGGCATGTTCGATACCAGCCATCAGCAAGCTGACTTTTCGTTCAGTCCAATTTCTTCACGTATCTGTATTAACTACTCCAATGCAGTTAGAAGACTTCAAAACTACGTCCCCTATATATCATCCCTGGCTTCGTTGTCTTTTGGTAATTATTAGGTTGCAACTAATAAAAAATTTAAAAACGAGCCCTTAAGTTCTGTTCTTTCATTCATATCTCCAAAACAGCAGCGTAAGTAGTGTTAGACTTGTGTCTGTACAATAACTCACCCGCGCTGGTATTTTGGCGACAAGTTTGATAAATTTAGGAAGGACCCCCCCCCCCCCCTGTACTTTTCGGCTAAATTAGTCATATATAACCACGACATGAACGAATGTGTAGTTATAAAAAATACCATAGCATTATTCTACGATTCAGTTTTCTCTTTACCACCATTATAAACTGCCACTGCCAAGCGCAAAATTACAGCATGCCCAACTTTTTTACTGTGTTGCACAGGTGCTCATGTACTGCCCCGAATGGCTGGGCAGCGATGTGGTGCGCATCGTGCGCGGTGTGGGCCAGAGCCCGTGCTGCGCGTACCCGGCCGAGATGCTGCGCAACCTGTGCCTGCACATAAGCATGGTTTTCGGCTTCGAGATCAGCCCCAAGCACCAGAGCTTTGAGCTGAGCAAGCTAAGCACCTGGTTCCAGGAGCTGCTCAAGCGTGTCGAGGCCAGCACCAGTGACCTGGTGATCGTGCTGGACGACCTGGACAGGCTGCGAGGTCCGGCGCATCACCAGGCTGCCACACTGGGATGGCTGCCCTGGAACCTGCCTCTGAACGTGCACCTTGTCTGCTCGGTTGCACAGGAGGCGGAAGCTGTGCTCGCTCTGCTGCGCAGCCGCATCCCGGCTGGGGACAGCTACGTGTTCATTCCGCCCCTCGCCGACGCGGCCAGCATGCTGCAGTCGCACCTGAAGGTCAGTGACCCAACGCGAAAACATTCGCGTGAATTAAAATTATTGTAATATGGCACTATGATAGCTTGATTCCATATATTTTGTCAGAGAAGAAGCATGAATTGGCTACATGCGGCGCAAGACATTAGGAAGCTTTTAATTCGGCCAGTAGTGTAGCCAGCAATTCTTTAGAGCGTGGTGGGGTGGGCGTTCAACCAAACTTTTGTGTGGTCGTAGATGCGATTGTATGTATGCCCGTACTGTGCTCATACAAAAAGGGGGAGACTTCGGGAGAACCTAAACCACTCTCGCAGATACGCGCATTCTCATTCTCAACTAGCAGTTAAAATAAGGCACATGTTTACTAGAAGATGGGGGCTGGAAGACACGCAAAGCTCCTGAGCATGGGTTGTAGCTGGAGGCAGCATGTGGACAAATGATCATTCCTTTTCAAGGCTGCAGCGGTTGCAGCCTTGAAGAAGGCATGGCCACTTCTCTAAACGTCGCCTCGTGTTTCAGGAACTTTTCATCACTTGTTCGGCTAGGTTACTCAACAGGTTGGCATTTCTTTCTAAATTAACCACCATGCAGATGTAATTTATCTAAAAAAAATTCCCAATTAATCTTTTATTTGATGCGTTTTGGAAATATGTTATCATGTCAGAATAGTGGCACGACAGCGCGCTCGTCGAACTGAGATTCAATCATCGCCGTAATTAGTAACACTTTCCACACGTAACAACTCGAACTCTGCGGCGAATGACAGTGCCGTATTATTGCTTCACTGCCCTCGTTATATTCAAGGTCGTACGAGACCGTGTACTTTCCCGAATCTGCTAACAGACGGGCTTGCGTACGTCTGTAGATGTTTGCGTAGCGATCGTCAAAGTGAGCTACATCTATTGCCCCTCAAGATATTGCTCTTAATGCTGAAGGGATACTTCTAACCTGGAATGCGGTGTTCAAAAGCAAGGTTCAGCAGCCTTTATAGGAGGAGCGCCAATTTCTATGAATCAATTAAGGTGGAGGCCGCATGGCGAAATGAGGGGTTGGAGGGTCTTGGAGTTTTAATTGACAGCTATTGCAAAAACTGGAATGTAAATGGGAATAGCAACAATAGAAATGGGAATTGGATACTGGAATTGAAAAAGAAACGAAAATAGAAGGTTGCCGACCCTTGCTCTAAACGACCCATTGGCTGTGGCGCACCGTACTATAACTTTTCGGTGCATTTGCGTCGAAAGTTTCTACGAAACGTGTTTTCAACGCAGGACAACAAGCGGCTGCTGACGCGGCAGCAGTGGGACGTGTTGCGGCAGAGGCTGGCGGGCCAGACGGCAAGTCCCCTGTACGTGACACTTCTGTCGCAGCAGGCCATGCGGTGGGCCTCGTACGAGGCGCTAGACGGCGAGCTCCATGTGCCAGCCGATACAGAGGCCTTTGTGAGCCGCAGTCTAGAGCGTATCGAGCGTCAGTTTGGCCTGGCGCCTGTCAAGAAGATCGCCTCGTACCTCACATGCACCAGCTACGGGCTGCGTGAGCCGGAGGTCATCGAGTTGCTCTCGTCCACGGAGTGCGACGGAACTGAACTGGCGCCCGTTAGCTGGCTTTCCTTCAAGAAGGAGCTCGGTGAGTGCCTTTATCGTACCCCTATTTGGTAGGGTGAACTTGTTGGCTAGTTGGTTGAACATATCGTAGTAAAACAGCATCAAAGACGAGAACAGCAAAGACACAAACAACCAAACGTAGCGCTACGTGTGGTTGTTTGTGTGCCTCTACTGTCCCCGTCTTTCACGCCGTTTCCCTGTGACCATATTTTGTGTTGTAGAGTGAAAGTACATTTCTTTATGTCTAACTAGAATCGCGGTGTTTTTGGCGAGAATATCGCTGGAGCGAGTAACACTGCCGATCACCATACTTGACCGCGTAGCAGGTTGTTATATGTGTCATATTCACTTGAACTATTGTCACTCGAGACGAAAAAGCAAGACTTCACTACCACGGAGTTGACGGTCATCGTCGATGTCACCCTCCGCGCTTAAAATTGGGAATTAATGGGCCATCCTGCCTATCTTTATCAGATTATACGCGCATATTCAGCTTGTTTGTTTACGTGTGACGCAAACTTGTTATTCCTTAGGAAAGTCTTTCTAATAAAAATGAAGGAATTCAAGTATGATGGTGTGTCGAATACAGCCAGCCATATACGGTTGACATAACTCAAATCTTTCTACATTACCATTATTCTTTACCATTATCATTACTTTCTACATTACATTATTCAAATCTACATTACCCGCATCTCCCCACGGAAGGGGGGGGGGGGACTCGAGTAAGTGCGTCTAAGAGTGGTGGGCGTATCGCGCGCATGTTGCGTAGTTATTTAAAGTTTAGGAATGCTTAATTGTTATTTCATCTTTATTATTCTTATTTTTAGAATGAAGGAGAGGTGTTGCCTTGAACGTCAAGCGAAAGTCAAGTTAAGACGCCTGTCACTGATATCCGAATGCGTGATCCAGTGCCTACATATACGGGGTGGCCAGTGAAGGGTTAACTTGTGCAGCGCGAGCAGTCATACTTTTTTACTAGCAGACGCTGCCTGCGTCGGCCTTGTGAGGGGAGAGAGGGGGGGGGGGCAGTTTTGCGGGTGTCTTCCTTGGCCGACACGAGACGCGAGCACGCGCCGTTAAGATGAGGAGTGTGACATCGTGCGACTAAGAAATGACCCGTACTTAAAACACGTTCGACTTGCTACTGCTTTTGGACATACTGGACAGATGTAGAAACATGTGCAAGAGCAATGTACTGATTTTTGTTTTTTGGCAATTACATGTTCTCATTCTCCTTTGTGTCGGTAGATCGAGTGGCTCATCTGCTAGCCGGTGTAACTATAAAAGATCAGATTGTCGTCAGATAAAGAAACTGTAGCGTCACACCGGTAATGAGCAATGCGCTTAAATAAAAAGTATGCCGCAAAACGAGAGAATAATGTTGAATATTCCTGGACTCAGAGAGCACTCTTCATTTGTTGTGTCAGTAGCGAGCTCTCACTATAGAGTGCATACTTTGGAGTTTATTTGGTACGCTACGACTCCCAGAAATGGGCAAGTCCATTCTTCAAGAATCAAAGCAAAAATTCCCGCTTGCTCTTCACGTAAGGATGTCCTCGTCCACCAAAATATCACATCCGGTGCCGTGTTAAAACCTCGTGAGGTCTTATTACCTAGAACCAAGGGCACTGGGCTGGCGTGACGAGAAGCTGAGTTTCGATACTTCCAACGGTCATGCGTTTCATTAAAAGTGACTTTTATGCCACTTTATGGGATATATCCGAGAAAAACCCGGAGGTGCCTTGATTGTACGTGAGCGCTTCGAGCGCTTCACAGTATGCGCAAAATCGCAAAGTTCTTCGAAGATACGAGGCATAGGGACGCCAATTCGATCAGCGAGATCGTACAGAGCCACCCTTGGCGCGTGCATGCGCAATTCTCGATGCGAGACAATCTAAATGTTATGTCACGTACTTAACCAAATTGCGGTGCTCATAAGTTCTGGGCTAGTGTTTTTCCTCTACGACGAAGAGGGGGACACCTAGTGGCAACGACGTCGACTGACGTAACGGAAATGACGGGAGTAGCTATAACCCATTTCCGGGCTCTTAAATGCTGCGCAAAGTGCCCACATTTGATGCGAAGCCGCAATAACGTTTGGCCTCAAGCAATAGCCTTTTCAGTATGTGGATAGGTTTTTATCTCGCCTTCTTTGAAGTCCATCACCATCACGAGTTCATTGTAGTTACAGGGATTCGTAACCCTCCCCCCCCCCCCCCCATCGGACTCTATGGAGTGTGCGAACAGTATAGACACTGCTGTGAGCAGTTCAACCCAATTTTGTAGTTGTGCGCGGCACGTATACCGATTACAAGTCAGCGGGAAGTCGCCAGTTTCTCTAGTGCCCTCACTTTATACAGAGGCCCCATTCTCACTCGCTTTGGTACCCTAGTGTTCGTGAAACATCAAGTGTGGTCGCAGTGCCGACTATCCAATTTCATAAACATCACATATGTACTCCTATTGTACAGCCGTCACGTCGGGTTGACGTCAATTGTAGTTAAGCGCCACTCACTAAATTTGATTTATGTAACAGTGTCCAAGACTGCCATCCTCGCGAGCACAAGCGATACATATCAGCTTAACGCTTCTGGCGTTGCTACTGCTCATGTTGCTGTTGGCATCGTTTCGCAACCGCAAACAACGGGAGATATAAAACATTTGTGACTGTTCAGCAGTTGTCTGTGCCTACAACATTCCTACATATATGTTTAGGGTCACTTAGTAACTTCTCGCCTAATAATAAAAATTACAACGCCATAACGTCCCCTCCACATTCTTCGCATAATATTGATTTTCAACGAACCGGCTTTTTTGAGGGGGGGGGGAAGGGGGCGCATTTTTTCAGCGGCCAAAGCGTCACAGGATGTCGATACCATCGACCGGCAACCGTATACTCCGCAAACATATCTTCGTATACCGGAATACTCTACACTCAAATATTGTCTATGAGAGAATCTTAGCGAGTTTTGAAGGGATCCGGATTGTTGCTCGTAAGTGTGTTAGAGATCAGACGATGAAGAGCTTTGTGTGCCACAGCTTTGTGGGTCCGGGCGTTTAAGCTTCCTACACAGTGACGTCAGTGTCAAACTCGGTGCCCAGAAACTGAAGCTGAGAGTCAATCACATAAATAGGACGACATATAATTATTTAGCAAAATATATGAATCTTGGAATCCCCTGTCGTGCTTCTTGGAGCAATAACGTATGTTAGCGACAAAGAAAGCGCAAGCGACAAATTCTATGTCATCCCACCGCTGAGCTTGCGACAAATTCCTGTAGATCCGCTCGTTTTTTGGCACATATTCCAGAAATTTTCGTGGCAATCGATCGTTGAAGCAACAAACTTTGATACTGACCACAGCTTGTTGTGCCCCGCCGCGGTGGTGTAGTGGCTAAGGTACTCGGCTGCTGACCCGCACGTCGCGGGATCGAATCCTGGCTGGGGCGGCTGCATTTTCGATGGAGGCGGAATGTTGTAGGCCCGTGTACTCAGATTTGGGTGCATGTTAAAGAACCCCAGGTGGTCAAAATTCCCGGAGCCCTCCACTGCGGTGTCTCTCATAATCAAATGGTGGTTTTGGGATGTTAAACTTCACATATCAATCAATGAATCAGCGTGTTCTATGATCACTTGGAAAAATAGTTCCGGAGAATAAAAGGCGCAGACTCGGTTGGCCCATCGAGCAAACGTCATGCCTTCTTTGTCATTTATGTATTTCATGTTTTCATGTATTCTTGTCATTGTGGTCCTACAGATGTAAAGTATGCACCTAGCGCAAGGTAGTCCAAAATTCAAACAAGAGCATAGCATTTGCACTTACACAGACAAGCTGTGCCACCAGATAAGTGCACTGTTGAATACTAGGCAAGAGCAGTTATGTGAAGAGCAAATCGGAAAGTACCCCAAATAGCACTGATTATTGCGTCGTGCAGTCTGCTTAATTTTAATGGGATATTGTTAAAGATCTCGTTTCGCAGGAATTACGGTGTAGGTGTCGTTTGTTGTGAGCGAAAAATAATTTTTTTTGCGGGACCTAAAAATCGAGAAAGATGCAGGTGAAATGAGCAAGAAAAACTTCGGGGTCTGCGTGAGGATCGAAACGAGGTCGTTTGCATGTCAAGTGTTTCACCACACATCCACGCCTCTGCTTGGGAATACTGTGAAAATAACCTACTTTGCTTTGAAATACAGTGAAAGTAACTTTCATGCTTTAGGAACACATGCGTGCTGTATACAAGCTTCACAATGCAGCATGTAATATTGCAGTAATAACGCGTGGTACAAGCTTACATTGGTATTGGGTGTCAGAGCATGTGCTTGTAAATAATTCATGGTTTAAAACGAGCCACCCACAAAAAAAGGCACACACGTTACTGCGCCTTTTCCATTAAAGCGACATAGCGGGTGCATAGCAAGTTTGAAAAGATTTCATGCGGACAATTGTCCGCGTGCTACCCACTACACAGAAACCCAGTTCTACTTTGCAAGATACACCTACAATAATTAAAGACATCAGTAGGACTGACTTTTCAAGCCGTGTACAGTGTTTTAATCATTAGTGAAATTAAAAGAGAAAGCCTGCATGAACTCATGGAGGCTTGTTGTGAGGGGGTGATGCGCCAACGTATGGAAACATGGCGTCTCTCGAGTTGGTTGTGTCTCTTCAAGATTCCTGTCAAGCTGTGCGACCAGTAAGCCATTCTTCACATGTGCGTAGTTTTTCAAAGCTGGTGAAGCAGATGCCTTTAAACTTGCTTTTATGGCTTCGCTTCGAGTGTGGGGACATTGCAAGTGTGCATCCACTTATCAAGAGAAACGCCAAATTGACACAGGTCAGTGAGCGAATGCCGCATCAGTGGAAAACAGAAACGGAGGGTGCTGCATCAAAGGGCTTCCACCGAAGAAGCGTTCTTGTGTGAAAGGCCGTGATCGGAGGAAAAGTGGGCACGATTTTGACCTCGCGGATTACGAAGGGTGGCGCACGGCTTTTTTGAGAGGCGAAATTCCAACTATTGC